TAATTACGCTACCTTTTCATTTAATCAACAGAGTGCAAATATGAATAGAAAAAACATATGCTCGATACAATTACGAGGGAAATTACGCGAGTAATTTAGAAAACAAAATATATACTTCATTTTTTTATTTCAGTCTTCCATCACGCCATGGTTAATTATTTGTTCATAGAGAAACCATGGATTAATGTAAGAAATGTTAATTAATTTCCTTCCTCGTAACTATATTTCTGAGATTTCATTTCGGTAATTCCATTAAAACTAAACGTATAATTTCACACCGTACCTTCACATTTACGGTAAACCCGAAAAAAAATTTAATTATCAAATTTAATTATCAAAAGCACGTTGTATATAAACGTTTAAGTGAAAGATTCATCAAATATTGTCATCAAACATTCTAAATTTCTTGGAATAAAATTTCGTTCCAAGAGAGTGAAAATATAGCAATTTTTGGAAAGGAATGAAGTATTTCACTTCTTGAAAAAGATTGACAATTTTCACTCTTTTAAAAAAAATAAGGCTATATTTTCACCCTTTTGAAGTGAAAGTTTGCTCCAAGAAATTTAGAATGTATGGTTACGCAAAGTAAATGCATAGTCGAATATGAGTTTTATATCCTCCTTGAGATTCGTTAGTCTAAGTCCACAACCTTGCTTTAAGAAGCCGTATAAAGCCATAAATTGTAAGTGACGATATATCGGCCACAGAACTTATGCTTTTAGGCCGTAAGAATTGAGTTTTGCTCAGACTAGTTTCACAACCTTGCTTTAAGAAGCCTTACGTCATAAATCGAAAGAGATTAAGTAACAATAATTTCTGTCTTTAAACTATTTTTGTGTAGTCTTTATAGGCTTTAATCTATTAGACTTAAGCGAATTGAGCGAAACCCAATTCTTACGGCCTAAAAGCATAAGTTCTGTGGCCGATATATCGTCACTTACTACTTAAAGCTTACGGCTTATGGTCTCTTAAAGCAAGGTTATGGACCTAGCCTCAATTCACTTAAGTCTAACGGTTAAAGTCTAAAGATTGCGCAAAACAGTTTAAAGATAGAAATTATTGCTCTTTCGGCTTAAAGCTTCTTAAAGCGAGATTGTGGCCCGAGACTTAATAAAATGCGTCGAAACTTTACACGAAGCGACATTAGTGATACGTGTCAGTGTACGCTCCGACATTCGCTCGTCTGACGAAAAAGTAGAACGATATCGGATTCTCTGCGCCCTGGGAATACCGTCAGTTATAATAGAACGATTTCCACAACACGCGATATCAAAGAGCACACCGTATGAAATATCGATGAGCTTATATGGCGGGAAAAATTATGAAACGCCAATCGTGTATTTTATAGAAATACTTCTTTTATTCATTGATGGAAGACCGGATGAAAGAAAAAGTCAAATTATCTCTAATAAGTAATATAAATGTATTTAGGTATTATAACTTAGGAACTTTAATCATGTAAAGAAAAGTACAGGATATCTATATAAAATCAAGGATACTACAGAAATTAAATAAGGGAAGGACCTTGTAAAGAAATTTTCTCAATATATTTTTTGCAATTTTTTAAGATGTGGCATTATTATTAAATCAACAATTAATACAATTGTGATATTATTATTTCAGCTTCAATTTATAATTTTAAGAACTTACATATATAAAAATATTATTAGGCATTAAAATCTAACCTCGATCGTCCTTGGTCTTCTCTCCTTACTTATTTAATTTATTTATGTAACCATTATTAATGTTACAAAAAATTATGATCATCGATTTTTTAAATTAGAAATTTGAAGCGGCGCAAATATAGAACCGTTATTTATCATATTCGAGGTAAACTAGATGTCGTGTACCGCGATACCGAAGCACCATTAAGAAGCGCATTACGACCTATGCCTCGTTATCATGAAAAGTGCATGAGTCTGCAGCGACATGATGAAAGTTTCCGTCGTTGAAAGGTTCGCCGAGCTGAAAACTGCTTGGTGAATACCAAGACGATACACGGATGATACACGAGAAAGAGCGTGAAATCGAGAGAAGGCATGACCGTTTGCGAACGCGCGTTCAGGGCGTATACTGTGTGTAGAAATAAGAATGAAGAACACGCGCACCAGGATTGTCATGCGACACATATGTGTAGACGTGAAGAAAGTCAGATCTCACATTTCACTCTCAAAAGAGGGATGGATTTAGTTACTTCAAAGCAGCGTCTTTCCAAAAATAGCAAAATAACTTTCATGTCAAGAATTTCTTCAATTCTTTCATTCCTATTTTTGTTTCTTATTTTCATTGTACTATTTTATATATTTTTACGATAAAACAGTACTTTTAATTATCTTCATTTAAACTAATATTCTGAATTAATTTTATATATATCTTCAAAATTTAACGTAGAGATAATTAAATTCCGATCTTATCTTAATTTAATTTTATCCTAATAAAATTGCCAATGAAGAAATATTCCCATTTACAAAGTCGTTCCTATTGATTAACTTGCGTATAAGGTTGATGTGACATTCAATTCGAGTTCTCCCTAGACATTGAAAGCTTCGAAGAAATCTTTACAGAATGTTCGAGCGCGTGTAATACATGAATAGATAAGAAAAGGAGCATTACACTCTCGCGACTAGTTCTTAATCCGACCCTGGCTCGAAGAAAGCATACATGGGGATGTCTTCAATAAAATTCCCTCACGAATCCCTCAACATGAGAGGATGCACAAAGAATGTCAGCGTCGTATTAAGTTTGTTTTTCCGCGAAAAGAAAAGCCTGAGCCTCTATTTCATTCTTTTCTCTTTCACTTTTTTCCCTCTTTTCCCTTCAATATATATTTCAGGAGAATGCGACTTACAATGCAATAAAGATAATTGGCCGATAAAGAATGCGATATCAATTTATGATGAAAAAAGAGAAAAGAAAGAATTTTTTCTAGCATTACGTATTTTTTATTATTATTGAATATATATATTTTTCCATTTCTTGGATTTAAAATTTCTATTAACTAAAAAGTTAAAAAATATTACTAAATTCTCTCCAGATTAATAAAAGTTGCATTATAATGCCAAACATGATCATATTAAATATTAAATACAAATAGAGACATAATTTACATTGCAGACTTTAAATTGTTTCAACTATTAAGAACCCGCAACATCATGTATGATAAAGTTTCACTGTCAAGGGAAGTTCACAACTGTCCTTGTCGTATTAATGTCATTAAATGTACTACGAATAATTCAACGAATTCACTCTTGGTCGTTTATGCGCCGTAATAAGGCGACAATCATACGTATTTACGCAAGACTGCGGCACAATAGTGACTGCACACGACATACGAGGACTCTCTCGCGCGCTCTTGTTCCTGGCCGCATGCACAGATATATGCATGGCTGCGCAAAACGTGGCATCGAGAGGCTGCATTGAAAACGGGGTGAAGTGCTTCGTTCCGCGAGAGAAAGACACGGTAAGCACGCGAAACGAGAGCGATGCGGCTTGTTTACTACGGTCGCAGTTTCAGTTTCAGTTCCCGTTCCCGTAGGTCCATTTCGGAGTTGTCACGTTTATCGATCCTGAAAAAGCGAGCCTCGCTTTGCGAGTTTTACCGCCTGCCGTTTTCCGCATCGACGACTTGCGTCGCGTTTTCACGGCGGACCACGACGACACGACGATGGAATAAACGCGCGTACGTTGGACGATAACCAGAATGAAATTTCTGACAGCATGACGTGAGGTTTATACTACCACGTGACAAGTCACTTGCCGACAACGTCGCTTCCGGACCTTCTGGTTTAGAGTATGTACCGCCGTCCGGTTCTGTCGCGTTTCCGTTTTAAGAACACGAGTTTCTCGAGAAACTTCAAGTTTACTCGACTTCTTTTTTTCGCGGAAATTTTGCTTCAAGAAAGTTGTATCTCGTTGCAACGTTCTTTAATGCTTACGTAGTAGGTATATTATGATATTTATTACATCCTGAGTAGCTTGTATGTTGTAAAGATATTTTTGTAATTCTGGATGCAGAAAGAGAAGACGATAGTAGTTCTAAGTATATACGTTTTAAAAATATTTTTATAATCTCGGATACATGAAGATGAGACAAGCGACGTGCTCAAGTTAGAAGAAGGAAGATTTTGAGGGAATTTTGACGTAGTTCATGTATTGTAGCGCAAAAACGTGGCTTCACGTTCTCTTCGTATTGCAATTTCCGCGCAAAGTTACGAAAATTTACGTAACGGGTGTCGACTTTCTTTTGACGTTGCTTAGGATGTTTCATCTTTGCTTTGAGTAGAACCAAGTAGATACTTTCGACGCCTAAGGCGACATAAATAATAGCATCTCTGTGACACAACACTCCTGATCCGATATTAAAAATGTCTTAAAATATCTTTCGCGGTAAACAGAGAAATTATATCTAAATTAAATGGCATCAGAATAATTATTTTTCTATCTATATTTTCGTTAAGCTTTTCAAGCTTATAAAACTTATTATTAGACATTACGTGTATAAAATGTGATAAATATAGTTGACAGATCATATTTTAAGTAAGATACATAAAAATATTTTACTTCAAGTTGATAAAAAATATCAATAAAAAATGTTATTTATATATAAATTCATATGCAAGTTATTTATATAGGCTACAGTCATTATAACAAATTAATTATGCACTACGTTTTCATGTATTTTAAAAAAAAACATCTGTTTTAGCTACCATATAAAAATAATTCGAAAGTTATCGGTACTTATACCAATAGATACAATCGATATTGTTCCTTCAAAAAAATAAAGTATTATAAAAATCATGTTTTTATTATAAGAGTAAAATAAGTTTAGAATTTCTTGTTTGTTATAAGTAAAATAACATTAGAATTCCTTGTTTGTTATTTTCAAATAAAAGAAACTGAAATATATGGAATCACAAATATAGATTTTAAAGAAATTTCGTGATTAATTAATCATCGAGAACATAATTTTGCCAATTGAATGATTGTGACCTTTCCGCCAGGGCGAAATTGGGCACAGAATAAGCGGAGCCCCCAGGTCCACCAGGAGATGGGCAAGCCTCAGGCAACATGTGAACAGTAGTCATGACGGCGGTAAACCTCGCGTCGAGTTGCTGTTTAATACGTCAGGTTCCAAAGCCTCTACACCGTCCTCGCAACCACACACTCCTAATACACCGAGAACGCCGCACACCCCGCCTATCAAGAAATCCAACTGGGAGGTCATCGAACATTTCACCGGCGCGCCGCGCCCCTCCATTATCACGGTGAGTCTTAGCGTTTTATAAAATGCATTATCGTGGGATAAATGTGATTATGGCCAGTGAATAAATTTTATTCTTCAAGTTTCACATAAAATAATATTACACAAAATATTAAAAATGAAGAACATTTTTGAACGTCAGAAATGTCAAAGCACAAAAAACTACTTTATACTATTTAATGCTATAATCTGATGATTTAATTGCTAGATAATAATTAGCAAAGATTGAAATAAAATTATAAATTATACTATTAAATTGGTATGATGAGAATTGCAGTGTACACTTCTTATAAAACTACTTGAATTTTGTAAGAAATAAGTGAGTAGGAATTAATTTTATAACTTTATGCACTTTACGTTATTCATTAAGTAGCAAATATCTCATAGCGCTAATTAATTTTTTAAATTATTGAATAATGTCAAAAGAATATTTATAATTACTGAGCGACAATAGTTAATAGATGATATTAATATCCAATATAGATAATTATTTACGATTAACCTTCTAGAAACATCATTACTTTGTTATAAAAAAAACAATTTTTTTAATGATTTTGCTCAAAAATGTTTTAGGAATAAAGAATCTATTATTATTCTATATCAATGTATATCGACGTATAACTTTTTAGCGGTTCTTTATTTCATTGTTCAATACTACATTTCCATCTTCAATTGTTAAGTGTAACTACAATAATTTGCACAAATCTTGAACAATTAATCTTCCATTAACCTCGAATTTAATCCAAATTTAATTTTAAAGTAAAAATTATAAATATGCATTACTCACTCTTAGAGGGTTTATACAAATATGTATTCACATGTACTTCCTCGAATTTATTAAATTTTATTTGCTATACGCAGATTTATATTATATTATAAAAAATGTATAATAATAGATTTCTATTTTAAGATAGTAGATTTTTTCAAAGCTCATACAAAATGATTATTAATTTCAATAAAATTAATTGAATTGAAGAAAAAGATGATATTCGCAATTTGCGTAATTTTCGTAATTATAATAATTTAATTAACTAAGTGATAATTAAATTGAAGAAATAGAGCTATATGTTACAATTTAGGTATATTTCAACAAATTCTCCGACAAGTTATTATTATTTATGGATAATATAACTTCCGATATTGGAGAACGTTGCGTCGTTATCGGATGACCGGGTAAAATGTCGAACATCTGCGAGGAAGAGTACATTCTATTAACAACTGCGCGTACGTGACCGTATATGAGTGACACGCCCATGTGGTGCACGCGCATCACGTTTCTCCATTACCGTGACCGAGTCTCTAGCAGAAGGTGTACGAATCATTGAGCAAAATGAGGAAACGGGAAACTGTGCGGAAAGACGAAACCACTTTGTCAGATCTCTTTCTCTTTGATGCATCCGCTCAATTTTCAAGGTGGAGCCGCGACTTCGTACATTACACGGCATTCCGGTATTGAACTTTCTCAATAAGGTCCAACTCTTCGTCGATATCAAACTTATTCGACTCTTTAGTCACATTAGATCTGTCTACGTTGCTTGCACTTTTTTGCACTTAGCATTTTTTTTTCTTTCTCTTCAGCACTCGAATATTATACGTTTATCCCGTTTTAAATGCAAAAATTTTTGATGATTTCAAGCAACGCGAACAGACCTTTTTCTACATTCGCGTTGCTATATTGAGTTTGCGGAAATTTTTGTTATTCATTATGCCGTAATTCACGAATTGACCGAGTCGTCTTCTTCAAAATTGCCATTTTGCGCAACGAACCGTCGAAAATGAACGGTGCAATCCTCGTAAATACATTATGGGGTCTGACAGAAAAAAAATCGCGACATCGTAGAAAACGGAACGAATAAATAAATCGTAATAATTTTCCGCTCACACGGCTGCACGTTTCGTACATATTTCGCATATTTCATGATCTCTCTCGGAACGGGAATTATTGCTACGGAAACTGCTCGCGGCCGACGTATGTACAAACAATCGCACTGGGGTAGGCAGCGATTATCGTATTACGGACAAACACCAGCAAACACGTCCGTCGACTACAGTGTGTGCTTTTCGTTAAATCACATTTATACACCGTGCACTGTACTGTTTGCGCGACGAATCGTGACGTAGCGATACTACCGGGTACCCTGAAATTAACCGAAACATGAACGGCGTAACGTCAAGCACGATGAAATTTGCATCATCATTTTTTTATTAGCTTCAAATATACTCGTTTTCGACATATTTGCAAATAAAAGTCCGCGATTAATATTCCGACGTGTATTTCGTACTTGTAAAATGACGTTCAAATTAGTGCTCGGAAACATCAGACGATTTGACAATTCGGACAGTTCGAATCTTAAGTTCGAACGTTAAATAGTTCGGATTGAATGTATGTTCGAACTATTTTAACCCACTTCTGAGCTGAAAGTTCGAAATTATTACATTTCGAACTCAGACTTCACAAGTCATTCTCAGAATCATCCTGAATATGTCCAGGATGGTTCAGGATATTTGTAGGATGATATCAATAAATATAGGAATTTTATTTAACTGCTCTTTTGTTTCCAAGGCATACTATATTTATTTACTGTCCGAATCGTTTGAACTTCAGACATAACGAATTGACATTTCATACTGATCACTGCTTAAGCTCGAACTGTTCGAACTGTCCTAGCTTGAGAATTATTTGTGTTTTGTTTATGATTAATAATATTTTATCCAAGAATTTTTTTGAATTGACAAGATCGCAATATCGCTCCTTGACTTCAAAAGTAACACAATTAAAAAGACATGATTTTCAAATTATTATCATGAATGAGTTAAATAAACATTATCCCTATTAATTATCAACAGTAAATTAATTTTCTAAAAAGTTGTCAAAACATTACAATACAAAGAAGGTGATTTTAAAAAACACCAAAATTATCATAACTTAAATGTTAACACATAACTGAATAAGTAAGTCCAAACTAGACCCTTTAGTGCCTAAATAATATTTCGGTAAATTTATATATATATATATATAAAAGAAAAATTATCTTTGATTTTATATATAATATCTTTAATTTTATATA